ACTGACGGGCTCACAAGCAATAGGAGCTCTCCTAGGGTGCAGGCATTTTTTTGGTTCTGATAGACCAATGAGCTGTCGTGACTCAGGAGTTTTGAACTGACTGTAAAAGAAAGCTCCTGATAATAAAAGAGGCTGTTTGTCTGAGGAAACAGGAATGGATTGTCTTGTGTTTATTTTCAGACCATCGTGTCAGAATGTGTCCTGCAAGTACTGACAATAGCAGAGCACTACAGCACTTCCTTACAGTAGATATAGTGGAAGGTAAAATATATGGTCAGGTCTTAACGCAAAATTAGATGTAACACTTTTTTTTTCTTGAAGGCAATTTTCAGGAGATTAAGAGCTATAAATGCATTAGAGAATACCTGTTCTAGCTGTACTTTTAAAACAACCTTTCCATTGCTGTTCGATGGTATGGTTGGAAATAGCTGAAGGAGAACAGCTCTGTCCAAACATATTTCTTGGTTTTACAGATGAGTGTGTTTTTCCAGTAGCTAGGTAACCAGAAACACTTCCCTTCAGCTTGTTGGCCTTTGGACTCTTTCGTGTTAAGTAGAGAAAAAGTAAGGAAGAAGCAATTGGGTTAATATATGTCTGTGCTAAAGAGACATGTGCACAACTTTGTCTCCTCAAGGGTGGAGCAGCCCCTGCAGTTAATATGCACTGTGTAGGGGTCCTGAAGCCACTGAGACTTGCTTTGTTCTGTTGTCAGACCACTTTGGATTTCTCCTTGGGAAAGCCCTCATCGACAGTTTTGAGGCCACAAGTGGGTTGAACTGTATTTTTAGTCATTGAAGTGCACAGGAAAATGTAACTAGATCCTCAGTTTCACCTTGAAAAATGAAATACTTTGAAGTGTAGGATTTGCTTCACTGCAACAATGTAAGAACTGTGTCTGCTGGGCTTTAATTTGGTATTGTCTGAAGCTCCTTTATCTTGCCAGATTTCCAGAGGACATTTACTTTCAAATCTCTAGGGAAATCCAGATTTCCAGAGGACACTTATTTTCAAATATCTGAGGAAAATAAGCTAATTTTCTATTCTAAACTCATTGAATGGCAACTGAACATAATTCTGTGGTTTTGCCACTGACATTACCTGATGAAATAATAATGGTTATTTTTAAAAAGAATAGAGGAGATTTTTTAATCTGCAATGAGAACCAGAATGATTCCATCATATCTGTCCTTGGAATTCTGAATTGTTTTGTAGAGAAAATGATGCAAGTGATTCCAGAGATTTCTAAATTTCATGCTAGGAAGGGAAGACGTTCATAGCAAGAGTATATGGTGAGATTTTAATGGGGTATACTGTTTCATGCGATACCTTTTAGTTGTATTTCAGATGTAACATGGGATCTGAGTTTTTCTGTTAAAATATTTCATGATGAGTGCAAGCCTCTAGAGCATGAGGTACAGGAGTGATGTGTGAAACCATGAGCATATCCTCCAAAGTGGCCAGTTTAGTTGTCCATTTTACTATTCTTGTATTTATTCTACACTAATAAGCAAAATCAAGCTTTGCTTGGATGTAAAACAGGCACGGCATACACTACAGTCCTCACAGGATCACCAGGGCTGGCAGTGACAAAGCATGCAATCTGCTTCATTGTGAACCACTACAGAGCTACATCACAATGTGGGTTTAAGTAGCATGGTATTATTAAGACCTCCTTTTTTGCATGAGATACAAAAAGGAGGTCCCACATGACCTTCATGCAAGCATGCAGTAAAGAACTGATCCTGCTATCCTAACAAAGCTTTGGCTTTGGCATTTACACTCTTCCCATTCATCTTTTGACACAGACACTCCAGGTTTTCCCCCACACCCCTGCAAGGCTGTCAGTCGCGGTTTCCCATTTACTGTTCTTCCCTAGAGCTCTTATAACACACTCTATAGAACATATTCTCAGGTTTGCTGATTATTTTCTTTGGCTTACGGAGCAAGCAGTCAGATAAAATTCTAACTTGGACCAAGAGCACTGCAGTGGCCCTGCATTCAAAGAACCAATTTCTTTCAAACTTCAGGTTGAATGCAAAATTAAATTTCTATCTGTCCTGCTAATGGCCTATTGAATTACTCACTGTGGCTGGTAAGATTAGTTACATCATCCCATTGGGAGATGCTCCACCCAGAGGGAGGAGCCAAGCATCCCTGCCACCATAAAACAAGCATTTCTGAGACCACAGACAGCCTTCTTCGCTGGATTTCCCAGAGGAATCAGGAACCAAGGCCCAGCTGCTCCTTCGCCGCATCTTCAGCATAAGTTTGATAACAACAATGCAACTGCTGTAAGATACACTATGTGACACTAAATGGCTTGACCCTGCTTAGTCTTGTCTTCCATAGCTCTTGCTCTAATCTTTGGACAAAGGAACATGTTGTAATCTGAATTACTATCTTTAATTACATAAAGAGTAACAAAAGAAAGGATTCACACTCAGTGGTTTACCACTGGAACCAGATAAGAAAATGCATGGAGAAATTGTTTGTAGCTATAAAGCAATGCCTAGCATGCCTCTCATTTTAGGAATCAGCTTTTTCTTACTGACTTTGCCTTGAACCAACCGAAATTCTGATGAAGGCTGAAATGGTCAATTAAAATCTTCATTTTTAGTAGTCCCTTGTTTCTGTTCACTACTGATTTTTATAATTAATTTTTCCTCATACCCCAGTGGTTCTCCAGTAGAACCTTCTGAAGGTGGAAGGTTAATATATAATTTTAATGGAAGTTATGGTACATAAATACTGACAAGCACTAGAAAGTAACAAAACCAAACTGGTAAAAAGTTCTTTAGAACCTCCTCAGACAACAGAAGGCAGGCTGTAAACTGGATTTCTGATGTCCTTATTGCTAGAGCAGGCAGCAGATCCAGTTCCATATTCATTAATGCTCATATTCACCCCTCTCAGCCTAAGGGTTGGGAAAGGAAGTCAGGGTGTTCTAATATATGCAGCTAATTACACTGAACTATAATCACCTAATGCTAATTTCAACATGATTGGTGAATGAAGATTACATAATTACATAGAATGTCAACGCTGGCTTGAGGTACTTGGAAGATCTATTTCCTGGGGAATCAATAAGGAGCAGAAGCATTTACTCAAGGAGATACATACATTATACACACATACACACACACACACACACACACACATATATATATATATATATATATAAGATCAAATAATTTCTTCCTGGTTTAAGATGGAGATTGGTACAGATTTCACCAATGTCAGCTACATATCAGTGCCCAAACTGTTACAGTAGTAC